ATCAGACTATCGGGTTCGTTACGTAAATCGAAAAGAACGAAAGAAGCAGGCTGCCTTCTTTACACGCGGATGACTGTTACACGGCGGACACTAATAAACGGTAATAGACAGGGCGGTTAAAGGTGCGCGTTTAAAATAATTGTAATAACGAGCCACGGCGAGTCGCTACTGTTATTAAACGAAAACTATGCGACTTCGGAGGCACTTGTGTTATTCGCCTTTCACCGTTATCGCGGCATACCTTTTCAGGTGCGAGCTCCGTGTCTCTGGAACCCGATAAAGTATTCGTGAAATATTAAAGCCTCGCGATACGATTATTCCAATTATTACAATTCTAGATATAACAAATGTAATTAAACTCTAACGCCGAGGCTAAAATAATCTTTCCTTCGGAAAAGAATGCTGAATTCCTAATTAATAGAAATTATTAACGGAGACACTTTACATTATAATCTCTGTCAACATATTTAATTCAAATCTCTCTGCGCGTAACCTGCTCTTTAAAATTTAAGAAAGACGTCTTTTAACATGAAACCTTTACAACGTTTGATGCGATAGATAAAACTTTAATGGTCAAACTGATCGCGATGATAAGCAAAGAATGAATGTTGAAATTATATTAAAGTGCGACAAGAAAATTACGACAGCGAATTATTACTTTAAAAACGCCAAGCGAATGATTGATATCTGAAATTCTTCAACAGAATAAACAAGAGCGAGGTGATAAATTTGTAAATGAGAATTTATCATCTTTAATGTACTTTTTATTCCGTACCCTTTTTAGAATTAATGCGCGAGCCATTCCTGAAAGCTCTTGAAACAACGTGATCCGGCGCGTGTTTTAACGCAGAAGCGAGATATTGTCGTCGACATTTCACGCCGGCTCTTTATCTTGACACCCGTACTCTCCCGCAATTTGCAATTATCATAAACATTTTGTACGTGCTTGTCCGCGGCGCGGTTTTATCCTCCGGCGTACTTTAGATATCCTTTCCAAGAAAATTAGTCCTCATTGACGCGTGTTGCAATCGTAATAAAGAGTTTACGACGCCCGATTTCTTTAAATTAGATATAAGTAAATGCTCGTTAAATTATTAACCGTTTAAATGCTAACAGATGTATTAATGCCACTTTACAAAAATTGACCGACGATCGAATGTTTCATAATCATAATTTAATCTTGACAGCGAAATGCGTTGCACGTTATACGCATCGAGTATTATAGCGATATATCTGTATCTCATTTAATTTTACATTCAATGAAACATCCATAAATATTATTACTGCAAAGATCGTGTCCACATTTATAGAATTATCTTTATTTACTCATACATATATTGTAATTTATGAAGAAAATTAATGTACATGTGATTTTTATCAGCACAGAGAAATACAAATAAAGTTTGCGAATAATTCACACTCTTTATTCGTTTCTTTATTCGTTTCTTTATTCGATCTGGTTGTGATCAATTCGCAAACTTAACCGAAAAAGGCTAGTTTGAGAGGGCTAGCCTAATGAAACATTCTGTTTCATGTGTGCAGCGATTTATTCTTTCTCTCAACGCGATAAAAATTACATTTTGCACATCATTATCGCCGATGACAGTTTATAAAATAAATCAAAAGGTTTTCCGCTAATCGAAAAAAAAATCTGTGCAACGCGTTTCAGAATTAGAGTAATATTGTTATTTTATCGCGATATGGTATATCAATCCATCTGAAATTTACATACGTTTGGGATATTATAGAAATCGCCTCCTCTATTGTATTATTGTGACATACTTGCTCCAGTATGTTAGAGTAAAGCGGTGAGAAGTAGCGGGATCTTTAGTGCTCAAGATTAAAGATAAGTGGCGTCAGTGATATTATCTAATTCAAAGCTCTATATCGTTGAGAGAAATATATATGACACGTACGAGTTAGACTGATTGCTCGACTAGTGTGTATTTTTATTGACTTTGACATAATTTCTTCAGAAGTATTTTAAAACGCAAATATACTTTTTAAGAGATAATTTCTCTAATTTATAAAACATCATTTTTTGTCCAAGTAAGCAACATATATTAACGTAAACATAAGCAAATAAGAAAACATTAAAAACAAAACATGTGGCGACATGTTTTGCATAAAAGTGAAAAATGTTAAATTAAAAAACAACCTTAGCAAATGACTAAAAAGAAGTCAGCAAAACAGTACATGATTCCCCGCTTTACAATCATTTCCGGGTGTCGAGCATATGGTACGGCTATCAACTGTTTATATCGTGAATCACGGGAGGAGAAAATTATTCGACGCCCGTAGCTAATTGTAATCACTTAATTACGTTACTACGCTTTGTTCGTGCGCTCGCTCCGAGCGCACGAGTGCGGGATCGCTGCGTTGACCGCGATCGATTATCTCGATTTGGTTGCGGCCGCGTGATTAGAATACCGATTAACCGTGATTAGACGTGACCGTGGACATTCCTGCCGCACGCAAATGCCTGTTGGTTACAATGGTGTCGAACAACAGTGTGTTATCTATACGGCGGGCAGTGGGCACCACGTACATGAGTGCGTGCGTGCGTAAGCCCGACCGTAAGCCCGATTATGCGCTTACCTAAACCGGCAATAGATACACCGCAAACGAAAATTTCTGATCGGTATTAGGTCAGGTATTCTCCCTCGCTTTTATTTTACAATATCAGCTCGACATCATAAAATATTAAAAATAAATAAAGTGATATAAACTAAATTACCATAAATAAATGTAGAAGGAATAAGTCGATATTTAAAAGTAGACATCCTACTAGCATTCTTTTGCAGAAATGCAACTTAAAAATGAGAATTTACGTTTTTTTTTTTTTTTTCAGTTATCTAAATTACGACAACATATAGTTCGTAAAAGAAATTATCTATATCCTTCAGCATTAAAAGAATTAGGAAAAAAATTTCATAGTCTATTCGCGACAAAGTTATATAGAACGATGAGACGGTATTATTATAATTGTTCATCTCTTAATATCCAGATTCCTTTGTTTAGCTAAATCTCTTTTAGAGCGGACCTATCGAGTGTACGATTTCCCTGGGAATTGCCGATGGGAGAAGCGCGCGCGAAGTGGCGAGAAGACAGAAGGATTGAGTAACGGATCGACGAACGAGGTGAAAGAGAGGCTATAGAGCAGGAGGAAGAAGAGAAGCTCGAGAGAGAGAGAGAGAGAGAGAGAGAGAGAGAGAGAGAAAGAGAGAGAGAGAGAAAGAGACAGAGAGAGACAGAGACAGAGAACGGAGAGACTAAGGGGATCGAGTATTAATAGAGACTCGGGCGACTGGAAGCCGGAACTGAGCAACGCGTACCTCCTCTTCCACCGCCTCCTCCATCGAGAGAAAGAGAGAGGTCGCCTTATTTATAAACGGCGAGATAAAACGCGGCTGCGACGCCGTGAGAGGAAGCCGCTCGCGCACTCATACTCGGCGCGGCGGCCCGCCGCGGCTCCCACGCTTCCACGGATGCATTACGTGGTGCGCGCACCTCGAGCGACTGCACCCCTGACGTAATGCCGGCGGCACGTTTGTTTAAAAAAAAGAACTCATGAATGCATTATTATTTAAGCCGACTTTCTCCGCGTCCGCGACATTTGTGCGCGGCCCGATCTCGGTGGCGTCTTATCTGGTGCCTAACAAGTTGATGCAGATAGATGCTCCATTTTTCAATCGTGCATGAATATTAAAAATCAAACGGGAAACAAAGTAACTTACAACAGTTACGTCGAGTTATGAAGAAAGATGAAAGATCCTTGGCAAAATCGAGACAAATGTAAATAAGCAGAATTTAAAACGTTTAATTAATACGAATTAGGTTAAATATCGGATCTACTTTTCAAAATGCGTTATCAAAATAATTGAATAAAAATATCAGGAACCAGCTCGCCCCGCGTATTCTTTTAAAGCTGCGCATTAACTGCATATATTGTTATTTCTTCATATTTTTTTAATGCATAATTATTTTCCGTTCTACAGAGTATATTCTTCACTATCAATTTGCAAATTTCTCCGTTTAAAACGTTGACAAGAGAACGCATCTAACGATTGTTATCAGAAAGTTAGTCGAGTGCTACGGTTAATTGCTAAAATACTTAGAATGAAAATTAGGAAATTAGAAAGCAACGACGTGTCAAGCTTTCTCATTTGCATTTTAAGAAGAAATCTCTTCGGAGAATGCCGCGGTGTAACACCGCGATATCTCAGGGATCTCAAGGCGAGGCGCGCCTCGCGTCCTCTTAATCGCGATATCGGGATAGAGAGACGGAACTGCCCGATGTGCCGTTAAGGTTTCGAAACAATGCATTCCTGAGTTTCGTAGTACGTAGTATTAATTACGACGCGTTAATTTCCCGAGTACCGACCGCCCCGATCTGGCCCGGAGGTCTTATGTCATTAGCGTGTCATACTTTTCACCGTCCGGACTCGCACTTTCATATATACCCGGCAGTAATAGCGATTGAGACGCGGATAAGCACGCGTGTGCATAACGGGCTCGCGGTGTTCTCAAGGCTGAAGAAAAACGCGCGCGCTGTCTATGCACGTACACACAGTGAGAAACGCAATTTATAGATAATGCACAATACAGTAACGTACCGTTACAACCGGTACTCGGCCTCGACGTTACCTCACACTAATGCCTCTCGCGCGCTTTTCGCCTATCAATCGATACTCGCCAATGTCTCTTTTTGAAAATGTACTTTGTTATACTCGCGTTTGTTACACGAAATTTTAACAATGTATTTTTGGGGCTTAATTATCCGGAATTAATATGGACAGATAGACTATATTAGTATATAATGTTCATTAAAGGCAGGGTAAACGTATCGATAGGAAATTGCCAAATTTTGTCTCGATTTAAATGATGTAATATAGGTAATTATGACATAGTTTAAAAAGGAATCGTAATAAGATAACGGGCGCGTTTTAATTCCACGTGCAACAAATAAAATAATAAATAATAAATAATAAATCACTCACCCCATGTGGTGCTCCGCCGTCGTCCGATGCCTCCAAGGCTTCCTTCTTCCTTCTGCTCCTCTCGGATTCCTCGTCATTGCACAACACTCACTCGCGAAAACGGAAATACGAAATCGCGCGACTTTTTGCACGGCATTCCCGCGAAATACACGAAATATTAATAAATACGATCGCGATATATCACGGCGGGTTGAAGCATTCGGACATGCAGGATTCGTGAGTTGCTCCGCGTTCTTGATCCTGTAATGAACAAATTACATTCAAGTCGCGATGCGAGTTGTATTAAAAATGTTATATTAAAGGAAATAACAGCAAATGAAACAATGATTCATAATTTCAAACTCTTTCTTTATCGCCTCGATTTCTACTTCGATAAACGAATCGCACGATACGTCTGCTTGGATAAGTTAGCCTCGGTACGTTTTATGAGTCGTTAATTCTAGCGGATAATTAATTGCACGGACAGGCAATAACTAATCGTTCGCAGAGAATAATCGCGTTTTCTCCCGGTATACTTGTCGCGATGGAATCTCGGGGGATAATAACGCGACGTGCTCGGGATGCCGTATACTGCCGCGTTCGAGTCTCGCTGCCTGAGTGATAACGAAACGACCTTTCATAAATAGCGCGCTGTACGTCGTAAACAAAAAAATGTCTACCAAGGCCAAGACCTCGCGTCAACCGACTCAATGAAATATAAATCGTATTGTAAAATAAGTGTATACGCCAAATATTCCGTATCTCAGATTTTTAATAAATGTATCGTTCGGCTTTCCGTTACGATCGGTTCGAATCAATCACATATCACAAGAGTATATTGTACAAAGCAGCGTGTTGCCTCGCGTTGCCGATGAAAGTGATAGGCAAATAGCACTTAATAAGTGTGACGTGAAAAGATATTCCACATAACACGAAACGACAGCCTTTGATCCTTTATTTCTAATTCTTGCTTCGAGGCAGCAAGTCGAAATATCTAACTTCAAGAACTCCTACAGGCCCGAAACATCCACAAAACGGTAGTCACGAGAATTCATTAGTCGTGATTAGATAAATCTCTAATCGATTGTGAAAAATGAGCGTTTTAATACGAAGATAAAATGCGCTAAAATAAGCTATCTACATGCCTCAAATATCGAAATGCGAATGGTAGCGCGGCGACCTTGTGTAACAACAACGCGCCGCGCCGTACATAATTACGAAAAACGTTCACCAACCGACTTAATGTTATCGTCCGTAATATATTTTAATAGCTGACACAAAAAAATTTAATTTTATCGAATACTCTGTTTCTCGTGCGAAATTAATCTCTGCGAACACGCCATACATTAAATCTAACGTTGATCTGAAGAATACAATTTATCTTATCTCGATCGAGAAAGTATTTACGTAATTTCCATTACTTCCTGCCAAATTTTTACGCCTCGAGAGAAATGAAATGATTATTATAGTGACTTTGATAAATCAAGAATTTTTCCGATTTTATTCTGAGATGTAAAAGATAATAGTAATGAATTATTTTTATTTTTCTATAATTTTTATTTCTCGATTGTTTAAAAAATATAAGTATATTATTCAAAAAATATTATTCAAAAAATATTATTCATATTATTATACACGTTATATCTTGACGTTGCGATAGACATGTTTAAATCATGAACAATATTCCGGCCGGTGGTGGTGGATCGATAACGTCTCTCTGCAGCGGATTTACAAAAAGAGATCCATTTCCCAAGAATGTAATATCGAACAGTTTCCGAAACAGTACAGGATAACGTAGGAAATAGAAAGAAAACTAGAAAACGACGACAGCGAAACTTCCGCGAGCGCTTAGAAAACGACGGATGCCGGAACCAGAATAGAAATAGCCTCGCTCGCAAAAAGAACCCCGCGTCCGATGGTTGTAGCAACGCATTAAAAATCAAAGACAACGCTTGCCTTGTACGTTTTTTGCAACGTGATTAATTACACACATGCGCGGAGTATGACCGGATACTGCCGCGAATTTCTGCGTGAAATCGAAACAAGCGCTCACATCTGAATGGCCGAACCGAGATAGAAACTGTTTCGCGAAATTTTTAGATGTCACGTTAAATACAAAACAACGGAGTTACTCATAATTTCTTCTCAACGAATGAAGGGTTGAAGAGCGAAAAAACGAAAGAAAAATCGAAGTCTTGAGCTGAATTGTATCATTCTAAAATACTTGTACTTAACGCGAATAAACAATAACATTTATTTTGTTGTTACACAGTCCCCCGCGACTTTTCCGTGTGCACGGTTATTTATGACCAGCAGACGCTAAAATCCATATGACCAGCGGCGAGCCGGAACAAAACGCGCAATAAAACGACGCTGGTTGGCGCGCGTTAATAGCCTTCTTTTATTCGCGACGATGTTACAGCGCCGATTAGCTGTCCGCACGCGGATTGCCTGTGCACACCGGTATGCACCGCACGACGCGTGTACACCAACCGATATTTACGCGAGCGAATGCGTGTGCACGCGACCTGCGAGCGCTGCGCAAACGCACGTGGTCGAGAGGCAGAAAGAGAGAGAAAGAGAGAGAGAAAAACGTCTAACGAGCGCGACCAACGCCGACGATAAATCAACGTTGCGTAATCGAGAGGTTGATTTATGTCGCGCCCGATGTGTGCCGTTGACCCGTAACTTCTTTTTTTCTCTCTCCCTTCCTTTTTTTCGCGCTTCGTTTCCGGTTTTTCTCTTGCATTCTTCGGTCCCCGTCCTTATAAGATTTTCTGAAACAACCCATCGGAAATGTACGACTTAGCTGAATAGGTTGCGCAATCAAGTGGTTTTTCTCGCTCTTTATGCTACACGTTGATATCTCAACGGTGGTTGACATATTCTTGCTTGATAGGTATTTCATATACGTGTGGATTGCGTTTCGCAAAGCTGCGGCGCTTCCAAGAGCGCGGACTTCGTTACGACCGTTACGTCCTCATTTGCGTAATGATTTTATGACTGAACTGCTTGTAGTTGTTCACGTTTATAACATTTTAGACAAATTTGATAGGCATAATCCGTGGACGGTCTTCGATTCACCTTCTGTTACGCAAAAAAAAACCATTTTTAACATGTTTTACATGTGTGCAACTGACTTTTGACGCTCGATAATCGATCAACTCGACAGCTCGAGGCTGGGCCTCGTTCCAGTTAAAAGAAGCGAACTTACTGCACCGCTTTCCGTACGCGCGTTTGTTAGCACTGGTTTCCCCGCATTGATTACCTCATCGCGTTCGGCTTTTCCAACAGACATGATATCTCGGAAACGTATCGATACACGCCTATAACTGCCCACGTGCCCATGCCACCTTCGAGAGAGACACGCCAGAGAAAACACTATCAATAATGCTCGCTCGGGTGTGACACTCGGTTGCCGAGTTGCCAGCAAGAAAAGAGATTGCTTTTATTCTCAGAGAAAAAACGTCATCTCCCGCCCTTTCGCGAAATAATTTTCGAACATAATTACTCCGACACATACCTTGCAATTCGAATTAGAGTTTCCTTTTTATCTTACTGTCCAAAAAATATTAATTTGATAAAAAAAAAGATCCATTATTGATCGACGTAAGAAATTTTACGTAACGGGATTTCCAAGGAGTCACTCGATATTGTTTCGGGTCGACGAAAGTAGCGATAATTCGAGCCGATCCCTAGCAAGAATCAGAGATTCAGGGCGGTCGCTAACGCAACCTTTGTTAGTTTACCGGAGTATAGCAGGCGAGAACGAGCGGAATTTTAAGCAGAACGCGAATATCCATTCTAGTCACTCGGGTATCGCTGTTACTCCGCGCCGCTTAAATATTAGCTAGTCTATTGTGATCGTGCGGTAACATACGAGTGTATTAAATTGAGTCTCTCTCTGTTTGAACATCGTTAACAGTAGCGGCAATCATTCCGAGCTCGCGATAATCACATTTTAAGTAATGCGCATTTATAATGCAATCTGACTTAAGTTCAAATCAATAAAGCTTATGACTGTAGAGATTTGTCAGGTAAATTCATCAGAGTACGTTCGAAAGTATAACTCGCTTTCAAGCTGTTAGTATTGACGTTTGGATGCAGTATTTTTGTTTTATTTTCTTTGTTTAAAACGTAAAAACGCGGCATACTGCAGTTAGCGTGATAAAAATATAAAAAAAATTGCACTGAGTATAATAGAAACCAATATCAATTATAAAGTTTCAACAATAAGTAAATGTGGTATTAATATTTCATCCTCTCTCATCAAAGACGAGAAGAAATCGAAGATAATAGTATTTAAATTCAGACGCTATCAATATAATAAGGAAAAAAGAATGTATTCGCTTTATACTATATTCAATAAACTAGAGAATAATATTTTATTTCTTATATCTAATATCAAATTTTCACAATCAAACAATCAGTATATCAAATAATATCACATTTTTCAATTTTTATCGTTTAATTACCTACATCTTTAGAAACTTTACCGTCTTGTGTTCCGTAAACTTGCGACCTACGCTGGACTTTCCGTTCAGACAGGCCGTTTGATATTTTGGCTTTTTTTTATTATTAATAAGTATATATTTTCATATTATAAATGTTAATATTAAATAAATATTTAATAAAGTATTCGCTTTGTTTTGCATTGCATTTTGTGCATTAGGCATTTTTTCTTATAATTAATAATTTTTTTAGTTTTGTAATTATTATGAAATACAATTTATTTAACAACTATAATGAACATACTACGTGAGTCACTGGTGATCCGCGTGTCGCAGAAAACAAATCACGTAAAGTTAGTCCGGCACGGAGCATGTCAATAATCTCTACGAAACCAGCGCAGGATTAAATTTTGGACGAAATTCTATCCGAAACACCTTCCTTCGTCGCCGTCCTCTTTCTCCGGACAGGATTTTCTCTCTCGACATAACGATATAAGGCGCGCATAAGGTGAAGGTATCGATTGCGCAACACCGATATTATGCAACCGAATCGGCTTCCTGCTGTTATCTAACCCCACGGAGTACAGGAACTCGTCGGCGAAGACTGGGACGCGATGATGACGTAGTTGTCCAAAGTTTTCTTCTTCCGCGATCGACGGTGACCGCTCGTCGATGACTTTACGTCACCGTTTCTAAAGTACCATAAATGGATTCTTCCCGGGGGGCATAACACGTAACACACGACGAAAAACCCTAATTATCACGTACTAAATAGCTTAAATACATATAAAGCCGATTGTGGGAGAAAGT